TAATTATACTATTATTATGATAATGATATTATTATGATTAGTAATATACAGGACATCTTGATATGCAATATTTGTAGGCCCGATCCGCTCCTGCCTTACCCATATTTTTTTTGTAAAAGATAAAAATAGTTACTGTTGGTTATTCTTAGGAGAATATACCATCGCGAACTTTTTTGTAGATATTTTTAAGATATACAATTTCGTTCTACAATATTTTGATCTATCTCCTAAGGTTTAGACACACAAAACCATGTTTTTTACGACTTGACGTTAGAGATCTTTGAAATTAAGAATTGATTAATTAATAAGAACTTTACACACCTCATACACGGCCATCTGATCCCAAACTAGACAGACCCTGTGCTATAATAACCTGTAAATAAACATACTTATATACTTCTAAATACATACATATTATAGATACACCCAGACACAGAACAAATCATCGTGCTCAACAAACAATTTTTTGTTCTGGGTGAGAATCGAACGAACGACCTCCGGCTTACAGTCAGGGTCATCAAATTACTAGACCAACAGGCCTGTCAATATGTATATACTCTAAATATAAATGAGCCTCTTAAATCACTCTTTCTACTGGTACTACCCGAATTAAATATTTAAAACGTTATTATTTAATGTCTGTGCATGTGCATACAAAACCTTAAAAAAATATCTTAAGCAAATAAACTCTCAGTATTATTTTAAGAATTACATTGATTACTTAAAAGAATAAAAATCCCATAAATAAGAAAAACATGAAGGTGACGCTTGTTAGTCGAGTCGATGAACTAACGAAGGCTGTACTACAAACTAGAAACAGGTCGTAACTAAATGTAAGTTGATAGGCCGGTAACAAGGCTACAAGGGTAATTTCATTCTACGCCAAGAACGAAGCAAAATATTGTTCTTAAGACATACGATTTTTATTATTTGTAACTGGTTCTTTAATAAAGGTCAAGTGCTCTTGTGTTAGTTACAAAGACAAATATTAATTAATATAATGCTGTTAAATAATCCCTAAAACGCCTCCTTTCTAAGGAGAGGCCTAAATCCAGTAGTGGACTATAAAATGGTGTTTTGTGAAATAATTTTATCTGTGAAAATCTAATATATATATATATTAAACTTAAGGTTTATTATATAAATTACAAGCGCTCAAAAAGTATTTAACGTATTTGGTGTTTTTATTTTTAGTCGTGTTCTAACTTTATTGAAATATGACTTTCAGGTTGATCCTATCTTATTGAATTAGTACTAATTGAAGTCTTTTAAACATTTTAAGTACCTCAGAATAACAAATAGTGTCACCACTACATATTTAACTACAGCAAATTAAAGTTAAGGATTAGCAAGAAAACAGTAAATCTATTGAGATTATAGTAGGTATGTCTCAATTCGTACCAGAATATTACGTGGTACAGCTGCCGCTCAGTCCAATCTCCAATATATTTGGGCACTCACTTATTTTGCATACACGTATTAATAACCAATATCTCATATGTATTAAAGAATTCTAGAAATATATAATCGTAACTATTGTTTATATCACTGAGATTTATTTATGAAAATCGCCTATAACTTCTATAATTGTCTATAATTTGTAAGTAAACGTGTTAATCAACAGCGCATTTGGTAAACTTCAAAATATATATATTTATACACATATATAGGACAAAAAGACGATTTGACTAATATTAATTTGCCTATTGACGAATATCAGACCTAACCCTGAAGGGGTTGAACAACATTGGTCAAGTCCTTTAAACCGAAAATTAAGACGTTTGCAATAAATAAGGGCAATCTTTACAGACTCGTGTCGCAGTATCTCAATAGACACGAATTGGTAACAATGTAAATACTTATTTGAAGAACAACAAATTGTGATGAGGTTACAAACAACAGCCAAAAATTAATTTTTAATTATCTGTGTAAGCACATAGTGACGGACATCGAACAATCATTCATACACTAAAGTACATACTGAAGTAATTAAGTTATGAAACGTTTAGATTGTAAATCATCTAAATTGATATATGTATATATATTTTAGCGAAATAGCGTTATTTCACTTAGTCTCATTGCTTACGCATATTAAGGTAATAATAACAAACGTTTCCCTTAAAACAATTCGTCGGCATCCAATCGTATAGATCGTAGGTAATAAATCAACAATTTAGCGAGGCAATTTCCATAATTCACACAATATCAAGTTACCCGCGCGAGAATAAAGAAAAATCCAATTTCCTCAGCTTGCATTACGCGGAGGGACGAAAGAAGGTTCCTTCAGCCCTCGTTCACACTGGGACTATTGAGATGATATCTCATGTTATACTATAAAATGTAAATCCCAGCAAAGATATGAAGGTACTACGGGTCACATAAGACACGGTGCGGGAACTATTATGACTACATTGATTTTTTATGTGAAGTTATTTTTGCTAGGATTTTCTTATCTTACTAAAGAAAGTGATGTTGTATGAATATTCTTAACTTTCTTTTGTCTGTTCTTAAAGAATGATTAAAAGCACAGTGTAGTTAATTACACAATATACCAATACTTTATGAAAAGATTTCAAAACGCATAGCAACTCTTTTTTTAGAATGATTTATTTCAACCGTGAATGTAAAGTTGTATTGTTTATATATGTACTCTACGTGTTCACTCAAAAATATTTTTAAAATGACCGAGATCGATCAGTAGTTTAAAACATTTCAGTCGGTGTTGATATAATTTTATAACCCAGGCCTTTGCGATCGGACGGAGAGGGAATAGTTTTTGTACTACATATATAATTTGAGCATTTACAAATTTTGAGATTTTTTACTATAATAGAGATAACTATTATGGAGGAATGTCGTGTCCCCCCAACACAAAGGGAGGATCCTCCGACCAGGCGAGGTGATCATGCCTGGCGGGCCGGGGCCCAACGGTTGATCTGGGAAAGTTATAAATATGTTAATCGGCGAGAGAATTCTTTATATCGCGATACAGGATTAGCAATTCTCATTCAGTAGTTACTCCGTAGTTCAGTGTGTCTTCGTTAGATGGCGCTGCAGTGTGTTTCTGTTTCTTTATATGTGGGAGTCGCCACATCACTCCCTTCCAAGACCGGAGGTCGATATCTTGATGAGTCAGCTGTCTATGCCCTGTTGTAGAGCGTGGCAGTGCCAGTAGTGAGTAGTTCCAGTGAGTCGGTACTGACTCCGCTGATCCCAGTGAGTCGGGATGGCGTGCGGTACGCGCTGCTGCCGTGAAGTCCCCAATGAGTCGGGGCGGTTGCTGCGTAGTGGGTAGCTGCTGCGTACACGGGAGAGAGATGCCCTTCTTACGTGGACAGTAGGTGCAGTGTGCTGTGCCTAGACGCTGATGTGGTCGTAGGGGTAACAAGGCTTGAGCGGTCGCTGCCTGCGTATGGTATCTTTTTTTGAGGCCGAGGTTGCTGGCTGGCTGAGACTTAATTACCATTCATCGTTGTGGGAGTGTGCTGGTGCTGATCTGATTCTTTGAACGCTGCTTCCGATCACGTCGAGGTCACCACTGTGGAGGAACTGATGTCGTGTTCCTCCAACACAAAGAGAGGATCATCCGATATCGCGATACAGGATTAGTAATTCTCATTCAGTAGTTACTCCGTAGTTCGGTGTGTTTTCATTAGATGGTGTGTTTCTGTTTCTTTATATGTGGGAGTCGCCACACTATATATATAGATTTGGGGAGGAACGGGTGTTATTACCCTCCAACACAAAAAAAAGCGCTGTAATAAGTTTCTAATTTACTGTAAATGAAAATCGCCACAGGTTAAACTAAAACATAACATTAAAATAGCCAAATAAGTAAAATTTTTCGTATTTTCATTATGCTTCTTTCTATCGTTTTTTGTCAGGTCGCCAATTTTGATTTAAGTTTTGTGTTGTATGTCAACACTTGGCAGCCGTACGTGGGAGTCGGCAGTATACAGATGTCTATAACAGACTTTTTCATGTGTAGGGGGAAAGGCCCTTTTAGGATTTCCTTTAAGCTCCTGAATCTTTTCTAACTCATACTCAACCTGCATTCGACTTCCTCCTCCTCGCTATTGTCTTTAAATGATATTGTTTTGCCAAGATATTTGTAGCTCTTTACGTAGTGTAACGGTTTACCACACAATTTTATTTTTTGTTAGTGTTGGTATTTTTCATTACCTTGGTTCAGTCTGAGCCCAACCTTTTCACTTTCCACATCTAACGGGTTTATAATTTTTTCGAGTTTTCCGCTTGTTTCAGCGAAGAGGACGATGTTGTCAGTGAATCTCAGATGTGTAAGTCGCTGCCCATTATCATTGATTCCATATGACGACCAGTGTAGATTATCGAAGACAGACTGTAGTACCGCTATAAAGAGTTTAGGTGACAGAGGATCACCCTGTCTCACTCCTGGACATATTGGTATGTCCGCTCCCCGTTGTTCCAATTTGACCCTGCTGATACTTCCATTGTAGATATTTTTTAGTACCCTAACGTATTTATAAGGAACTTGGTTACTTGAAATCCTGTTGAAAGCCTTAGCCTAGTCAATGAAAGGTATGTATAGTGGGCTATTGAACTCCCTTTATTTTTCTATTACTTGTGGCATAACATTTATATGGTCTGTCGTCGAGAAACCAGAACGGAATCCTGCTTGTTCTATTGGGTATTTTTTGTCAATTTTTAGGGTAAATCTGCTTTGTAGAATTAATGTGAATAACTTATACACGGAAGAAGGCTTATAAGCTTGTAATTGCCTATTTCTTTCGGCTCTCCTTTTTTGTACAGTAAGATTATATCAGATCTCTTCATTCTTCTGAACCCTGACCAGCATCTAAGACTTTATTCAATAAGTGGGTAAGAGGGTGTAGTAGCAGAAAAAAATCAGTTCAACCTCATTTTGTATACCATCGGGTCTTGAACTATTCAACTTTTAAATATGTTCGATAATTTTCATTCTGTCCACTTGTGTTTTATCAACTTGCTCCAAGGTGATTTCACGCTGCTTGTGAGAACAAGTAGTAGTTGAAGCCCGGAGAGGTGTCAGTTTTCTTTTCATACAGTGTTTTGTAAAATTCGGTAGCACAATTCATTACACCATCTCTAGATTTGGTCTCAATAGTGTTTCTTTTTAAATTTAGGATCCAGTTTTTATGTGTTGTCAGTTGCTTGTCTGCTCTTCTGGATCTTCTATATTTTTGTAGGTTGTCCTCTTTTATTTGGTTTCTATAGTTTTCGTAATCTCTTTTGATTGCTTTGCTTGTTGTTTCGTATAAAGCGCTCAGTTGATTTTTCATTTCTTTAGTTTTATGTTTTTTTTTTATAGTTTTATTCATTTTGGTGAGCATATCTAGTGTTTGTTTACTGAGAATTTTCCCGACAGTAAAAAAAAAATATGTATACTTACAATTACTTATGCATGTAAATTAAAAAGTACCGTAAAAAAGTTTCAGACCTTATGGCGCTGAGATTAAATACCAAAACAAGTTTGCAAGCGAGGAAGCTTTAGTTTAAGTACCGAACTGTCATTAAGGTAAGTATGTCTTTCTAAAAGTATTTGCATTATAGTAATGTTTAGTAGTTTGCAATGAACGAAGTTGAAAGTCGAACTGGTCGAATTTTAACTTCATTTTTAAGTACACACAGTATGAACTATCTTGACCGAGAATGATTCGATTTATCAGATCGCAATTTAATTTGCCTAAACTCATTTTGTAACACAAGACTTTAACAGAGTTTCCTTTTCCCTATTTCTATAAAAGCTCAATTAGACTTACTAAAAAAAACCTAGGCTTCATGATTAATCTGGGGCATAGAAATGAACTGAGTTTAAAGTGAATTCTATAAGAAATTGAGAGAATTATCCAAAGACAGACGGGCTCCTCAATTAAATTGAAAGCTCTTAAGTGTGTCGCTCACAGGTTTAAAAGGCTAATGTAAGGTAAAGCTCGCTTCAGCTATTATTTAATTTAGCTGAACATTTTATTGCTTTATCACAGCGTATCTTTGTGCAGCGGAATATTACAATATAAGAGTCAATAGTTGTTATGTACAGATCACCTTTTCGTTACACCCCCCAAATACTCCCCGAAGAAAGAGATGTATTTAATATCTGTTATAGGTATGTTATAAATGATTAAGAAAGAGATGTATTGAATATCTGTTATAAATTTGGTATGTATACTATCTGTGGTACTAATATTTTGATTTGTCTTCATTAAAATTTACTTGAAACCTCGTTGAACAATTTAAATAAAAAATCCATTCATTATTCAGAATTATTTATAACAGATTTGACTTTGTTACATCGTACATAAAAGCACGATGTTTTATAGGACTTTTGGAACCAACAGGTACCCGAAAATTAAATTTTTAATAATCCTACACACAACTTTATGATCTCGCAAAATTACACAATTACGAGTTACAAAACAGCTGGGAAGCATCAATTTATTAAATTTCTGGTCCCAAGTGTGTCCGAGTCCCTAGGAAGGTGTTTCGGATATGAGCGATTATTCAGACCCACGATAACAATGCTGTAATAAATTATGATTGATGAATACCCCTGGGAACGGTGTGCGCACCTCTTTATAACAATATTTATTTGAGTACATTAGGTGTAATTACGTTAGATTAAACTTGGCAGAAGATGCTGGTTCTTAGTGCACAAAGTAAATAAGTATTAAGATCAATTATTTTGGTGGTCTATTGTCTAGTGTATTCTAGAAGTGTACGGTATTTTGTCAGTGAATACTCTGTGAAAGAAAAGACATCGCAGTTCAGCAGTTGTAGCTAATACTTGTATAAGTATATGTTTAAATATTGTCGTTAGAAAATTCATTGCAGGTTTGGTAATAAATCAAAATTAGGCTACATTTAAGCAATGAAATTTAATTGTATTTCATTGTAAACCAAGTTTTTTTTTAAAGAATTCCATAGATGAACATGTATAAATGGTCGCCGTTACAAGCAACCTTTGGATGGACACAATAGACAGTTAACAAACAAATTTATGAGAAGTTTCAATTACACAGTATGGCGTAATTCAAATAGTGCAAGGCTTGGCTAGTATATGAAGAATGTTACATAATTCTAGCTACTAGAAATAAATTTAAGTAGTATATGTTTGGGTATTGTAAACTTTAATTGTTTAAATACAAGAATTTCTGCCAGACACCTATTTAGTTACGAGATAACAAACGTATATACAGATAGTTGCTATTAATCAAAGTCGTCTATTGAAAGTAAACAATAAAGTGAGACCCGGAACGAACCCTGGACCATTTCAGTTTCAACAAACAACATTAGTCATCTGTCACACCGCACCCCTTTCGACAAAGACAAATATTTTATATACGTTGGTAACTGCAACAGATTACTTGTCGAGCATGTAGGATAGGAATGGGTAATGTTCATAAATAAAAGACATTTCGGTGTAAATATGTCCAGATTGCGAACGAAATATTCAGAATTAAATCGGTCTCAATTTAGGTATTATTGTGATTTATAATTCAATTCCATGGAATCATTGAATTGTTTACTTGGGAATAATATACAACTATATAAGTAATATATGTTGTGGCACGGAACATTATTTAATGTTGTTTTTATTTTATTGATAAACTTACATACGAGGTAGGAATAACAATGCTCTATTTTGTATATCTTATCGAGGTAAATTACTATCAGTAGAATTATGTTTTTTTTTAATAAGTGTTATAAAATAAAGGGGTCCAAAGCTACAATAATTTAACCGAAGATATAAAAGAAGCTAAAATATTAAAAACATTTTAAAAGTTATTAAAAACCACATTTAATGGATGTTTAACTAATAAAAACATGAAACTATTACTAATTAATAACACATTACACTACAATAAACCACGTCGTTAACTGCAAAAAAACAATCTGTAGTAACCCTTAATAGAATTTGTATGACTGACTAATTTTCTCATTGGATTTTAGTTATATTTTTATTACGACCCCAGCGATAATGAAATGAAACTTTACAAAACATTTGATGTACTCGTAAGTACCCTCTTTCTTTTTCGTTTCTAAACCTCATTTTATGCCTAAGACGGTGCTATTGTTTAGTAATTTTGTGTTTTACTGAAATATCGCATGTAATTACTTAGATCATAGGTCTATCTGACTGAGTAGTGTAATACTTTCATGCCGAAAGCTCCTTTGTAAGTAGGCGACGTGGCTTACTGTAAGCAGAATAATGACAACAACAGTGCATTATCAGAATAAATTGAGTGCAATCATTGTGCTGCCTGCTACCAGCGACTAGTGATGACATATTAGATACTATCTGGTACCCGCGACTTTGTTCGCGTGAAATTTGAAAAGCGCTGCTTTAGTGGTGTAGTACAGAACGCGACTGCAGTCCATGAGTTCGATTCCCGGACCGGGAGAAATTTTATTGCGTTTTTCTGATAGGAAAAATGGCCCAAGTTACTCCTTATATAGACAGCTTCCTGTTAGTAAGATATTATCAAAATCGGTTCAGCCGTTTAAAAGATTACCCAGAACAAACAGGCAAACAGACCAATAGATAGACAGACAGACAGACAATAAATATTTAAACTGGTTTTTAGGTATTAGGTATCATGCAAATTACCGTGTTTTGCAATACAAGATTAAAAACCTAGTATTTTCACATTACAAACAGACACCTCAATTTTATTTATTTGTATAGATTACGTGAGACCTTCAAGTGAATTGATCTCATAGTACCTATCGTGTTGGTGCGTAATCAGTATTCATGTTCATTCAAATACAGCAAAGCCTTCCAATTTACTCGTACTAGGTTATATTCTTAAAAACTTTTTTAAGTTGAAATTGCACCCTTATAAAAATCTGTATCACTATGTATTTTTTGTAAGCTTTTTCTTCAGCTTGCTGAATAGTATTAAGTTTGACAGGTATTACCAATTGGTAAAATCCACAGATGGTTTACTTATAAAATATCTCTATTTTACTAAAAAAGAAGAAAAATAATATTTATTTTGTACTCAAACAGACTATGTCATAGAATGTAATAATATACAAGTAGACAAGAAAGAAAAAAGTAAAAAGATAACGAATTTACACTTAAATACCATATACTTATATGTATATTTTTACGTTGTAATACTTTACACAACATGCCAGGATTCCCTAGAACATGGCCGCCGTTATTCACACAAATCAGATATGCAAACATCCTGACGTGGAACAAATATCTGTAGGCTCTGTGTAAATCGAACCCGCAATCTTCAGCATTATTGGTCCGCCTACACGCTTATATGTACGCTGAAACAATAGAAAAATTCTTTGGCTCAATTATGCATAAGAAATAGTAAGCACTTGCCGCTGTTAAACTAAAAAAGACCTGTAAATTGAATGCAAAAAAATAAGAAAGAACGGCTGAATTATTTGTAAGTATATTAGCTTTTGCCGGCGGCTCCGCCCGCTTGTATGTCAGTTATCGTAGTAAAACTTCCATAGTAGTTTTCCATTGGTCGAAGAATTTTTAAAATCAGTTCAGTGGTTTAGGTGTGAAAGCGTAACAAACAAACAAACACACTTTCACATTTATAATATAAGTATGGATGTGTGTCTTCAAAATATCTTGAATTATCGATGATTGTAATGATATGTTATGGTAGGTATATCTTTGACTGACATATGGCGTAGTGGTTAAAGCGGTCACCTGGCCGCTTCTTAATGCGCTGACTGTTGTGGGTTCGGTCCCACATGGGACACTGCGTGATCCACAAATTGTTATTCTGAGTCTGGGTGTTCTAAAGAAAAATTAAGTGACATGACTAATTAAAGGAAATGCTACTTCATAATTGTTTTATGTTGGTGAGGAGAGGGGCAAAAGTACAGGTAGAGGTAGGGTGGATGGTATAATACCTCGAAGTGAAGTTGCGATTGTATCTATTAATCGGTAACTGATTACTAATAAATATACTGCGACCTTTTTTCCGATTTTAGTTCCATTAAACGTATCATCATCAGCCTACTGCCGTCCACTGCTGAACGAAACGCTCCCGAATCCGCATTCATCCACTAAACGTATATTTACTTTGAAATCTGTTGCTGAAGATAATCTCAACTTGGTTCGTTATACACATGCACAATATTTTACGAAAATGATATTCTTAACAGAAGTTATCTTGTTAAAAGATGTTTAAAAAATGAAGTAAACGAAGTTGCCCGAAGTCTTTCTAAAGAGTAGGAGTTAACCTCAACAAGGAGAAAACATTTCAGTATAAAGGTCTGCGTAGACTCTAAGATTTACCCTTTTTGTTATAAATATACATTAATTTTTTAACCTCGTCAGCTAAAGTAAAAAATG